AATAATAATAATAGTAATAGTAATAATGAGAAGAGGAAGAGGAAGAGGAAGAGGAAGAAGGAAGGAAGAAGAAGGAAGGAAGAAGAAGAAGGAAGGAAGAAGAAGGAAGAAGGAAGAAGGAAGGAAGAAGAAGGAAGGAAGAAGAAGGAAGAAGGAAGAAGGAAGAAGAGGAAGAGGAAGAGGAAGAGGAAGAGGAAGAGGAAAAAGAAGTGAAAGAGAAAGAGGAAGAGAAAGAGAAAGAGAAAGAGAAAGAGGAAGAGGAAGAGGAAGAGGAAGAGGAAGAGGAAGAGGAAGAGGAAGAAGAAGAAGAAGAAGAAGAAGAAGAAGAATTATTTTATTTTCAGAATTATAGTAAGTGAATATGGGGGAATATCCAATTTAGAAAAAACAGCTTAAAAGATAACATGATAAAAGTAATTAGATTAAAACATTGACTGGATTTGCTTCTATAAAAGGGCAGAATAGATTCATGACTGACAACTTTAGCGCATTGCTTCAGTAAGGAATCAACTTTCCTTACTTACAAAGCATAGACTCATGCTCCATAAAGATCTATGATGGGACAAGAAAGATTACAATCTAAATCTCTACGAAATTCCTTTAGGAAAAGCAGTCGTCGATGATTCCCATGCGCAGAGGCCGTTTTCTACTGAGGAAGCTATAAACTTATAAACTGTCAAATTACAAAAGTGAACAAAAACAATAATTGATAATTAAGTGATTTGAAAATAAGAATCATCCAAATAAATGCACAGTAATTTAGGTCTTATACGATGAATTTGCAGCAAATGATTAAAAATGTATAACGCTATTAAACATAGTTTATAAACAATAATATAAACAGGGTCTTTCATTATTGAAAGGTCATTGTTGGCAGTTCTTTGTGGGGGTATTATGAACGTTATTTATAGCATGGATTTATCACACTCAAGGTCTGAGCGATGGACTGTGGTATACCAAGAAAGCAGCGCATATGGATAGATCTAACAGCGGACAGCTAAGAGGGTCGTGTGTAGACCCGGGCAGGGAGTCCTTGTCCTCAGGGGAGATCACTCCTCTCACAGACGCCTGCTACTTTGAGGAGGCGAGTGCAAGTGAGAAATGTTCACGGCGCAGCACTCCCCTCACGCCACAGGAGTTCGATCTGTTGTCTGACTCTAACCCTTTTAAGCAAGACATCGCTGAGAAATACGGCTTGGGGTACCCCGGAATAACTACAAGAAGTCAAGGACAGAACGGAGGTGGCAGAAGCTCAAGAGGATCTAGAGGGTCTAGAGGATCCCTGTTCGATTCCCAATTGTCACCTGAACTCAAGAAGGATGTGATCACACCTATAAGTCAGAACGTATCCCCTATATCAGCAGAGGGTAGAGAAGTCTCTTCTTTCCTTGGCTTTGAGGATGATTTCAGCGCGATAGCTCTTAGAAAAGGAGAAGGTGAGACTGGAGCTGACGTCGTGTCAGGGAAAGAGAAGAAGCTTGTCAATAAATTTGACTATGTCTCTGAGCGTGAAGACAGTTCAAGTGCAGTATGGCCAGGCAAAGAGAAGTCAGAAGAACATGTAGATCGGGACGTGCCTGCTGCTACAGGACCTTTGAGACCTTTCCTTCAGCATCAATTGCATTTGGAAATTTCTAAAGACGAGACAGGTGATGAAAGAGTTCGTCACGGCAAAGTAGGGCAAACAGAAAAGCCCGGAGAAGCGAGAGGCGTGCCAAAGCTAATCCGTGAACAAAGTATCGATAAAGGTGAAGAAGCAGCACGCGCACACCTGACAAAAGTCAAAGCTGTGACTCAGAGTTCTTGGATTTTGGAGAGTAAGGAAGAACTAAACAGGAGTCCACCTGGCATAAGCTGCGACAGAGATAATACCTCACAGACCAGCGAAGGCTGGAGAGGAAAGTCAGACGTTGACGACTCAAGCAACGACGACCCGTATTGTGCCATCCGAAGTGAAGACTTACAACGAAGACATGGCTATTCTAAGTTCGACTTAAGCAGGAAGGCATGGTCAGATGGTCAGTATAGCCACACATCAGGGGGGAATACGGATGTGGACGCATCACTGGACATCCACAAACTGTCGACACAAAGTTTTGAAGTCGCTGAGTTAGCTCAGAGAAGCAAAGAGAATATTTCAGAGAAACATCAAGCAGAGGACAACGATTGGGCCAGAGCAGGCCGTGACGCCGATGGCGGCGGTAGGCGAGATGGGGGACTAAAACTAATCAACAGTGAGACCTTTGATGTTGAAGAAAGTAATTTACATGACAAATCAACAAAAGAAAGATCTAGAGAAAAACTCGGGTCAGACAATCCTGAAGCTAACCCTTTTTCAGATTTTTTGAACAGCAAACAAGCACCTTGTGAGGACGTGTCAGAAATAAAGCCTATCAACAACGATGTAACGCCCGAATGGCATAGGACGGTCCGAGTTCAAACTCAAGCCTCTAGTGACAGTATTTCTCTGAACAAGTCCCCTGAAGCGAATCCGAAACCTTGGAGCTCTGCGAATGAGAGCGTTGACATCTGTCAGAAAGAAGAAGCTCTGTCATCTGGTCCGAATACCGAGGACAACAATTGGGATGAAATAAAACCGTCTTTAAACATCAACGTAACTCAGGGAAATTTGCCTAGAGAGGAGAAAGGTTTGGAAGAAGAGGATACGCTTAAATCGTCTTTCTATAAGGTGTTCAGCGCTACAGTGGAAGACATGGAGGAGGGTGAGAACAAAGGGTTCAAGGACGACGGTGAGGACCACACAACAACAGACGCAGATTCGAACCATTCAGTCGCTATTGACTCGATAGAATCGGACATTTCTAAAGACATTCTATTCCAGGTCAAGATGAATGGGGACGGGACAGACGCAGACACGAGCAGTATATCCCGCGAGTCCATGAAGGTCAATCTGTCTCAGGAAAGCTCCTCGACTGACCAACAAGATGACCTCACATCATGTGACTTACTTCCAGGCTCAGGACTGACCACATGTGGGCAGCTCCGTGCGTTTGACCTGATGGTACCGCTAGATCCCCTGACTGAGAGCATCTCCGCAGAGTCCATTGTCGTCAATGTATCCAACGAAAGTCTAAATTCCACCTACTCCGGAAAATCGAATCAAGAAAACCAAACTAAACATCCCGGGAAACCAACGAGGAGTAATTTGTCCATCGACCTGAGACGAAGAAACATGCTAGATCCGTCAAGAAGAAGTTCACTTCCACTAGACACTCAGGGTCAATCCTCAGGTCGACCAAAACTGCCCCTTGTGTCAACTCACTCGCTGGACATGAACAGTGATCCAGGGAGACGACTGTCACTCAATAACGACATTCCTACCACAGAAGAAATCACAACTTTCAAGACTTCCCAGACGAAATTGGCCTTCGAAGGAAGTTCCCAGTCTTCCCTTTCCACCTTCAAGTCTTTTGGTCGCACAAATCCTCCCCCTGGGGATCAGAGACAAGAAACACCCTCTTCTGCTGCTGACCAGAATGCCAAACGTTCAAATCTTGAGCGTCAACCGATCGAATCTTGCGATTCCACAAAGAATGCGGATGCGTTGCCAAAAACAGCAGCGCTGTTGGAAAGTTCTGTAAAACTGCCGGCTACATCTTCTTCGAACACACAAAAGCGAGCAAATACGTCCTTTGCTGATTTGGCGTTGCAACTTACACAAAAACCGAAAACAGGGTCAAATGCTGTTGGCACTGAACCGCCAGTTCCTGGTGCTTCCACAGATGTTCTTAAAACCAAACCGGGTTCTCAGTTTGTGAAGACTGTTCTCGCTGCTGCTGCTGCTGCTGCTGCGGCGTCAAATGAGAAGAGAATTGATGACGAGGAAAAATCAAAGGAAACATCTGACGTCCTTAAAGATGATGGGTCTCTACCAGAGCCAGAGCAACACAGTGTGGGTTACCCCCCGTCAAAAGGTTTTGACGAGGATTCTAAAGACCCTGCTCTCACAGCTAACATATCGGAGCCCCCGGATATTGTGCCAAATGAAGTGACGTATTCAGAACCACAGAAACCCGCTACGGCGGCCAAGAGTGAAAAATTGCCAATGCCGAGAAGTGTTTCAGAAGTACTTGAGAGAATGCAACACGAGGAAGGCAATGTCTTCATGACCCACGATTATGAAGAAATGAATTTCATGACAGAACACCAAGGACCATCTGATGAAAGTAAGCCTTCTGAGAAGGATGACGCCATAGGCAAAAGTACTGTTGACCGAAACGTCAACAGTGGGGTGTCAGAAGATTTGAACAAGGATAAGAGTGAAGAGACTCTAGAAACGAGAGGGGCCAGAGGTGACAGCACTGACAGTGATGGTGGAGACATCGACTCTATCGTCAACGAGTTCAAGCAGCAAGGGAGCAGCGACGAGGGTGACATCGATGAGCTGGTAAAGGAGTTCAAGGATACAGAGCCTCAGACTGGGGATGGGGAGGGTCAGGATAACAAGCCACAACGTCACGGTATCGCCTTCACCAAATTTGGAAAAGTTCTGAAGAAAATGCAGACAGTAACAAAGTACATGTCGAAACCGAAAGGAGACCTGCAAAAGGAGGGTGCCACTGACAATGTCCGGGAGGCTCCTGAGTCAAGACGAGGAAGCGTGTTCCGGCCACGTGCTCACTCTCAGGATCACACGTTTCTGACAGAGAGGAGTCAAACAGCACCTGAATCTGACCCAGACAACGCCTTTGATCTGCTAAGCAAGGCGGCTGAAGTCTTCAAAGAGCAAACTGTGAAGAAGAAAGCAAAGCCTGTATTTCCTTTCCGGAGGACCAGAACTGAAGCTGAGCCTCACTTGGAAGACGATAATGATGAGGACACAGAGGAATACGATCTTGTGTCCAAAGCTGCTAAACTCTTTAAAGGTTACAAACTGAAAAAGTCGACAGAAGAGAGCAGTAGCTCTGACAGGACGGACTCCAAAGATGGTAGTGGGGAGAAGCCAGATTCTGCCGTCACGGGAGTGACCAGTGTGGAAGCCCCAGTTGAAGCTGTAGAAGACACGAGTAACCAGATAATACAGTCCCAAGCTATGACTGGGGAGCAACCTGTTTGCAATGTAGAATGTCCAAACGGGGAGCACGTGAATACGACAGAGGTAGATGGAAAGGTACCGCAACTGTCTTCGCCAGAAACTGAACAACCAAGTGACTCCCGACTCGATAAAAGTGAAATCCAAACATCTATTCTGAACTCTGAACTACTAAAAGAAGCTTGTGTCGAAATGCCGGTAATCAATTTACAGGGAGACGAAATTCAAAGTAAACCGAACGGCGAGGAGGATGTAAGAAGAAATTATTATGAGGAAAACCCTGAGATGGCAGCATCTGGAGAAGACTTCACTACTGAGACCAAACAGATGTTCTCGATCTCTGACAGCGGGTGTGGCTCAGAACTGGACAATATGTCCACAGCCACCGACAACATGGCGTCGGAGGTCGAGCACACTTCGGACATGGCCAGGAGCGACGCGATGAGCGAAGTTCATGAAGAAGGTGGTGATGACCTCTATCAGATAAATGAACGGCCAGTGGAGCCTACAGGTCTGAGTGAACCACCTGAACAGAGCATGAGAGAGGAAGACTTCCCCGTCAAATCCGACACAGTCATTGAAAATCTCTGTTCTAGAACTGTCGATGAAGCTGCAGCGGAGACACATGCCAGCAAAAATGAGACTGATAATGATAGAGGAGATGTTTCAAAAAGCCCGGAGACTGTAGGAAAGTGCGCCGACAAACCATGTGACCTCGTCTTGAGCACTGGATACGAGAACGGGAAGACTGCTAGGGAGGAACAGCCAGCAGCGACTAGAAGTGCTGGTGGAACATTTGTTAAAGATGATAGAGAGAAGACGCAAGAGAAATTGGAGGAAATTGCTCTGGAGTTGTCGGCGGTGGAAAAAGCTGGATACGCGGAAGCATCAGCAAAGGCAAAAGCCGAAACGGGTTCCGAAACCAGATCTGATTATGTGAGACTGTCATCTGACCTCACTGAAACCACAGACGCTCAAAGTCTGATGGTCAATTTTCCTGACTCGCCAGACAACGGTATGAGCCTGGACGGGGACAATCCGTTCTCCCTTTGCTGCGGCAGAAATCTGAAGAAAGTTCACTTGAACTGCACGGCCATGATGAAAAAACCAGAGCGGCGTCCTTCTGCCGTCATCATCGCCAACAAGCGCTGTGTCATGACGGACGAGGAAAGACTCGGGGTGTTTCCGGCACTCCCCAAACAGAAAGGAGAGGAACAGCCAGCCACGAGTGACGACATGACACGCAACGAAGTTGTTCAGTCGTCAGATCGGGAGACAGAGCCACGACGGCTGTCGGTGAAAGATCATGAAAGAAATAGAAACTTTGCTGGGAGCAGAGAGGAGCTGGTAGAGAGAGAGAAAAATGTGGATGGAAAAGATAGTCCTGTCGTATATCAGGATAAGGAAAAGCAACAGAATAACGGGAAAGGAGAAAGCAAAGAAGATACGAAGAGGGAAAGGAAGACGAGGGTAGAGAAGAGAAGATCAATGATTGACGAACATGAAGCTGATAAAGAATCGGTTAATATTTATGATACGGTTTTGAATGAACTGGCAGTAAAACAAGGCCGGACATCTACTTGCAGTGACGATTCAACGAGTGATATACCAGCAAAAGAATCTGAAGCCAAGATGAAGCGTTATGGTAGGATAATGAGCGAGTCTGACATTGATCCAACTTTGGGACAAGCTATTGAAACAGCCAAAAATGCTAAAGAAGAGGAGGGGGGGAAGGGCTCCACTTCTCCCACAGAGACATGCAAAGAGGTAGGCAAAGAGATAAGTAAAGTAGTAGATATAGAAGATCCGTCTGTAAACACTCCTGACACACAAGAATCTCCCCCATACGACACGGTTCCCAACGCACTGATGCAAGAGTCTATGGACACGTACGACAACTTTTACCCCAGCACAGCTCCACCTGTCCCGGAGCGAAAATACAGACTTCGCTCGGATTCTCAGCCGCCTGCATCTCCTCTCCATCCCACCATCACCACCTCAAGTCTAGACAGTATCGTTTCTGACAGCGCCACGTACCTCTACTCTCAAACCCAGAGCCGCCGCCACCCTTCTGGCAGTAAATGGGTCAGCTCTACCCCCCACCTGCCCACGACGGAGATGGCAGACAGAGGCACCCCCCGTACTGGATCTTTCCCATGCCTACCCAGGACGGAAGCAGAGGCTTCCAGCCGCTATCAAGCCCACCACGCGACGTCCACCACGAGTCTGGGGTCAGACTCCATCAACTGGGGAAATTACGCAAAGATTGATGACGTCAACGACAGGGCATCCTACGATTCGGAGAGTTCCACATCCGGTCTAGTAATCCCAGGTGCGGGAAGGGCCTCCACTTTGAGCGACGTCTCGGATGCGTACATTTTTGGGGAATACTCCACTGTCAAAGATGACGTGTCCTTGACTGGAGAACGCGGCGGGGTCATCAAGCCTCTGGACAGACAGCACCAGTCACGAGAACAAGCTTTCCGCTTCCGACACTTCCCGGCGGCGACGGAGGAGTCCCATTACGTCAATGTCAGTGCTGTGACGTCACAGCCGGTTTCTTCCGGTCACGTGCTGCTGGGCGCAAACAACGATGTGCGGAGAGAAACAGCGGCAGGGTTCGAGCATTACGCAACTATAGATCACCCACCGGGTGACGTCATGCAGTCCAAATCTGTACAGTTCCCCACACCACCCATGCCTGGACGTGTTATCAAGGTCAACTGTGCCTCACAGACAAGTACGGAATCCTTGCCTGGTCTTGTTCGAGACGACGCCTCTGATATCCTCGAAGGTCTTCCAGTGTTCGAATACACGCTGGGTGCTGGTCAGAGTGGGTATGGGACCTTGGATAGAGACGTGGTAGATGCCAGGGGTTACGGTCAGTATCCGGATACTCATCGCCCTGATCTAACACGACAGACATCCTCGTTGGACCGGCGGTATCGCGCACACAGTGGGTCATCAGTGGAAAGAGACACTCCACGTAAAAAACCCACACGCGTGACCTTCTCTAGGGATGAAGTCCTCACTGAGGTCATCCAGGGCATTCAGCAAAGCGAGACAGCGGTGGAGGGGGACAACACCGTACCTGCGGATGGGCGGGGCTTGCGAGACATGGCCACGTCAACTCTGTCTTCACTAGGGGGCGGGGTCAAGGAGATAGCCCGGATCTTTCACGTTCCGTTCCAGTGCTGTACAAGAAAGAAAGTAAAGCAGCCAAAGGTAAGAGAGGCAACTCGGTGTTAGATACTGCATGGTTTTTAGTTCACTTTCAAGTTCTGAGGAATTCTGTACATCAAAAAGCTGAATACAGAGATCTCTGTGGTTCTCTCTGACTATTATTTTGATTCTAGTTTTCTTTATAGATCTGAGTGTGAATCTTCGTTGTATGTTTGAGTTCGTCTTTTGTTGAGTTAGTTTGTACATGTATTCTGAATTATTGTCACATAATATTTTATCTTACTATATTTAGCATACCTTCAGTAACAAATTACAAAGAAATAAAGTATCTATTTGTTGTTGTAATTCTTTGGTTTTTCTCTTATTGTGCTCAGTGTTGTTTTAATTTTGTTTGATTGTTCTTAATTAGTCCACCTAATATTTGGACAACACCACTTTCAAAGTATTGAGAAATTAGTTTGCTTATTTACATTCTAATTGTTTATGGAGATAATCATTTTCAATGCGCCTACGAGTGTCTAAGATACTTGCGAACCTTAGGTTTTATTGACATTTATAACAAGTCTACTCTCTCTCTCTCTCTCTCTCACTCCCTCTCTCTCTCTCTCTCTCTCTCTCTCTCTCTCTCTCTCTCTCTCTCTCTCTCTCTCTCTCTCTTCCACATTTTGTTATTGTGTGGAGAAGCAACACGCAGTAGAAAAGAAAGAGTAAATAAACGATGGCAACAAAGTAATTATGATTTGTTTGAAGAAGGTGTAAATCAGAAACAGGACATAGAGAAGGCATATAAGAGTTTAGAATCTACCTCATCTCAAATGAGTTACACCCTTATCGACACAATTTTGACATTTCGGAGGTGGACAGCTTCCACTCTGCCTGTCCCAGGGACACAGGGCTCAGCTGAATAGGGCGTTATCATCTTACCTGAAAGTCGGAGACAGTCAAGAAAATGCTTTTTTTTTACCACCAGAGTATCGAACTTAACTCTTTTGCGTGTAAAAACAAAGAGTATAACATTTACACTACCTGTATGCACACATACTCATACGCACGCACACGTACACACACGTACACACACACACACCCAGGCACACCCACACACACACACACACACCCAGGCACACACATACACACACACACACACACGCACACAGACACACACACACACACACACACACACACACTATATTATATACACACATTAGACTCTGAGTGTATACATTTAATTTGTGTAAATTTGTATGTATGTGTGTATTTATCTCTGTGTGGGCATTTTTGTGTTTTGTAAATGTATGTGGGTGCGGTGGCGGAGCGGTTGGTGTGCTCGTCTCCGAAGCGAAAAGTCCGGGTTCGAGCCTCGGTTCGGACACGGATTTTGTTCGCCCCCTCCTGCCCACCCTGAAGTAATGGGTATCTGACTTCGAGTTGTGAAAGTAAACTAACTAATGTGGGAGTGCACGAGCGAATGAATTCAAGTGTGACGAATAGTTGTGAGTTTGAAGTTGTATTTATATATATGTGTGTGTTTATGTGTGTTAAACAACCTCAAAGGATATGACTCAGCACTTTGCAAAGGCAAAAGAAGAAAAACCAAGAATAACAGAAACAGAGAAAAATTGAACAAGCTATCTAAACTCAATCGTAGAGTGGAGTAAAACAATTGTATACTTAAAGAGTGCAAATACCATCCTACTAATAACTGTAGCACGCAACAAGTGCAATCAAATATCCAACCTTTTTGATGATAAAACAAGAAAGGGCTCATGCGTGTGCTAGGCTCAAATTATGCAGGGCCAATGCGGTTATTACCACAGGCTGTATTGCTATTATTTCGTTGGCAATGGCACCCTTGCTGCAAATAAGAAACATATTCTATTGATGGCCCTCCCTGAGGCACAGAAAGGCTGGTCAGAGAAATTCACTTACTCTGCATACCCCGGAAGCTACCGTCATCGATCCTATTTTGCTTCCTGTAATTTGATTGGCTGACAGAATCTCAAGGGGTGTTCGTGGGAGACCTCCCAACCCTTCGGAGTATGACGAATGAGGTCGGGTTTCTCGACGATTTCGGATATGTCTCTAAAAGTATACACCCATATTTCTGGCTAGAGGTATTAAATGTGTGGCGTGTTAGCAGTAGAAAGACGCCTGCTGTCCAGTGAGTGTGTGAGAGAGAGAGAGAGAGAGAGA